CCAAATGCCCATCAAGGATAGACTGGATAAAAAAAAAACGTGGCACATATACACCATGGAATACTATACAGCCATAAAAAAGGATGAGTTCATGTCCTTTGCAGGGACATGGATGAAGCTGGAAACCATCATTCTCAGCAAACTAACACAAGAATAGAAAACCAAACACCACAGGTTCTCCCTCATAAGTAGGAGTTAACAATGAGAATACATGGACACAGGGAGGCAAACATCACACACAGGGTCCTGTTGAGGGGGTGGGAGGCTAGGGTAGGGATAGCATTAGGAGAAATACCTAATACAGACAATGAGTTGATGGGTGCAGCAAACCACCATGGCATGTGTATACCTACGTAAACTGCACGTTCTGCACATGTTTCCCAGAACTTAAAGTATAATTTAAAAAAAGAAAACAAAAATTGTCATTGGTGAGCATTCCCAAGGTCATATGGTTCCTCCAAAAGTCAAGGACTTTTCAAGCACTCGTTCATTCAATAAACAGCTATAAAGCACTGCAAATATACTTGCAAAGAAGGCATCTTCAGTTCTTGTTCCTATGTTTCTCGCAGTTTAGTAGAAGCTGTCAGAAAGCAAACAGGTTATTACAGTGATATAATTGTTACATTGTTACAGGTAGTTAGACTGGCATGATTCAGGCAGGAGACAGCTCTTCCCTGACCCATAGGAATGCCAGGCGATGGTTCAGCAATTATCACATTGCCTCTCTGAAAGTGATAAATTGGCTGCTGGTGCCAGGGAGTGGTCATTTCCTGATAGTCCACACCTGTTGCACTGAAGTGTTAATTGAATATAGGTACCAGGTAGAAGCGACTTCCTGGACATGCACCTTAATAGGCAAAATGGCAGAGTATGACCTTTGTGGGGCACACCCCCAGATAAGGGAACAGAGCCTCAGATGGGCATGCATACTGTTCCCTAAACACACCACACGTGTTCACCTCCTAAGGTTAAGGATGGCACTGCACATGCAGGCAGCCCACCTTAAGGGCAGAATCACGTGAAAGGGGTCAGCCTATAAAGTCCTAAAATCAACATTGCACTTGACCTTGGGCCTCTTTCAAGCATACTTTCCTTTTTTTTCCATTCTAAAGCTTTTTAAAATAAACTTATATTCCTGCTCTGCAACTTATCTCTGTCTCTTTTTCTGCCTTATGCTTCTCAGTTGAATTCTTTTTTCTGATGAGGCAAGGATTGAAGTTACTGCAGACCTGTATGGATTTTCTGTTGGTAACTTGGATACCTTACACTGGTAACATAATAATTTCTAGGATGGGGGATGCAGAGGAGCATTGGGAGGATGCAGAAAAGCCACTAAATGGACCCTAGTTATGGGGGTGGTTGGGAGTGAGTGACATTGGTTGGGGAAGATTTCTTTGATGAATTGATGGGTATGGGATGGTATAATATCTGCCAAAGAAGGTAGGTGAGGGTGGGGAGGAGGGGAAGTATGGACACAATGATGGCTCCTGGCAGTAGAAGGAAGAGTAAGCTTGAGGAATTTGGAGAACTTCATGTCATTCAATGTGATGAAAACATTCAGTACAGAAGGAAGAAGGAATAAATGTGGTAAGAGATGAGGCCAAACTGGGGAAGGAGCTGCCCTTCACGAGGAGTCTTGTAAGAGGTGTGGGCCTTATCTAAGAGTGGAAGCCAGTGGAGGACTCTGAGAGGAGCAGGTGCACAGATGAATTCGATGTACATTTTATAAAGACGACTTGGGTTCTAGCATAAAGACGGATTGAAATGGGACAAGAATGGGAATAGAAATGACAGAGGCCTAATCTAAGTCGGTGACCCTGGCAAGTGACGAGTTAAAAATACCTGAGAGACAGTTAGGGAATAGAAGAATTGGGGTTATTGGTGAATCAGCAGGAAAAGGGAGAAGTCTGGTTGGTGGTGCCACTCAACAGTATAGGCAAGGTAGGAGGAGAAGCAGTTGTGATTAGGAAGGACCTCTCAGTTTTGATGCTCGTCCCTTTCAGAATGGCAAACCAAGCTTAGGTGAAGCGTAGATATTTTGGGGGTGCTTTCTAACCTTATTGCTTGGACTCAGTCATGCTGGTGTCTGAGCTCCTCTACTCAGGCAAATGTTGCTTCCAGTAAGTTCCAAGCAAAGCGAAAGAAAGACATTCCCCTGCAGCCCTTCAGTAAAGCAAGCATGCTGCATTATGAACTCTGGTTCCCAGGAGGCAAGAAATAATAAACACTTTTAATGTAACCAACTTTCCATGCCCCACCCTCACCCCAAGCATCTGCATGCACAAATCAAAACCCTCTTAAGTCATGGAATGAAAAAAAAATTAAAAGCAAACAAAAAGCACTTCCTGTGGGGTGAATGGAAATTTTTGCCTAGTTAATTTTCCAGGCACATGAAAGCAGTTCTGAATATTTAAAACCACAAGTACTTGTATTCTTAACCAAGATTTTTGAGAAGGCGAGGGACGGGAAGGATCATTGAAATGGGCCTTTGACATAAAACACCGTTTATGTAGCAGTGAGCTCTGCTCCACTATCGGATCAGTTTACCAGCCAGTATCGAATAAACTGAGAAGTGAGAGGGTTGGGAAAAAGCAAACAGATTTATCTCAAACAAAACCACATATATCCAGTTGAACTGAAGCTGAATTTAACCATAACTAGTGCAACTTTTCTCCCGTTGAGGTAGAAACATTACACTTCCAATTGACCAGGCCTTTTTTTTTTTGCATTCAGGTTATCTTAGAATTTTCTCTAGGACCTAAGTGTCCTTCCACCATGAAAATATGAGACCAAAAAGAAAAGTATGCTGCCAGCAATTTCTAGCCAAATAAATGAAGATGAGCATGTGAGTGTGGTGGGGTAGGTAAGAGTTTGGAATCTAAAGTTTCACTGTCTGGATTTGAACAGGCTCCATTGCTCATCAGCTCTGTGATCTGGACAAATGCCTGAATCTCTCTCAGTTTCCTCATCTATGAAATGAGATTAGTAACAGACTCTCCCTTAATGCACATGGAGCCTGGTGGCTGGCACACACTATGTCCTCATTGCTTGTTCATTTTTAGGTTCCTGTCTGTATTTTTCTCGGTTCAGCAGTCCTGAGTGCTAGAACTTATGATAGCTTTTCTCAAGTGAAGTTAGAGCTTCCCATCCCCAGTTTCAGAACAAGGCCTCAACTTGGAAGAAGGCAATTGTTCTCCACTGCCTGCCTGTGTGCTGGAAAAGGACTCCAGCACTGTGCCTGTGGGGCTAGAAGCCTCTCCTCATGATGCTATCAGGGAGGACAGTGAAAGGGGAGGTGACTGGGGTAGCAAAGTCCCAGGGGTCCCGGTGACCCAGGCTCTACTGCTCAAGCTAGCTCATTCCTTCCAACAGCTTCCTTCATACACACTGCTGAGATCCAGGAACCATATAGAGGGAAGCCTCAATTGCTGGGCATCCCTGCAGGGTCAGCCTCCTCCTTGCCTTTCAGACCTCTTAGCTGTGGTCTGGTATTCCTAGAGGCTGACCTAAATCCCCAAACCTGGAATCTGTTTCAGAGCCTGAACCTTTTGGACTCACACCTTGGTTTCCCTGGCCAGCTGATTTCAGCTTCTCATCTGATGTCATCTCTTCAGGCTAAGGGAAGTACATCCTGGATCTAGGATCCTGGAAGCCCATTCAGACCTCTGGATGGAGGGTTCAGCAGGCCTTGGTATGGGTGGTTCTATCTGCTTTGATTAAGAGTGAGGATTCTGGAGCCAGGAGGTAAAGGACTCTTTACCTCCCTGCGGGGATAGAGAGACCACAGGAGGCTTTAACACCTTCTTGCTCTCACCTGAGACCTAGGTGAGAACTCCTTGGCTTCTACAGACTCTGCTGTAACATGAGGAGCAGGGTTTAAGTTAGTTTAACTGACCCCATCCTTTGAAACATTGCTGTCTGCAATGAGTGCCACACACATATCATTTCTCGGATTCCTATGATGTTGTTCTTTCAGCTCTTTTCAGTTTCTGTAATAATTTTGTTTCTTCTTTCTCCGGATCCTAGCACTGATGCTTGCTATGTGACTTGGGCCAGGTTCTTTACCTCTCTGTGCCTCAGTTTTCCTCATCTGTAAGATGGTAGATTAGTGGTCACCACTGGGATGATTAAGAAGATTAAATGAATTAATATATATATGTATAAACTATAGTAATATAAATAGATACAAACAACCATTTGCATACATGTAAAACATAAATGTAACGTTAGCTATATTCAGAGTATATTTTATATATAAAAATATTTTATATTTAATTTTTCACATTTTGCATTAAGATGTATTATTTCGTATAAAACATTTAAGTACATATACATATAGTTATTTATGTAATTTTTATTGTTACTGATGTTACTGTCTACTTTACTCCCTGCAGGGATAGAGAGATCACAGCAGGCTTTTAAACATTCTTGCTCTCACCTGAGCCCTAGGTGCATGCAGAATCCCTGGGTCCTACAGACTCTGCTGTAATATGAGCAGCAGGGTTTAAGTCAGTTTAAAACTGATCCCATCATTTGAAACATTGCAGTCTACAATTAATGTCACATAAATATCCTTCAGCTTCCTATGATGCTCTTCCTTCAGATCTTTTCACTTCAATTTCTATAATAATGTTGTTTGTTTCTTGTCCTATTTGAAAGGCTTTCTTATCTCTGGAGCACCTAGCATAAGATAGAAATGTGTCAAAATATATGTTTTATTCATCATGTGGGTATTTTTAGGTCCTGTTATCCCCAGTAACTATTGATTCAGAGAAGTAGGATGGTTCTAAAAAATACAGGCATTATCTCTTTAACTTGTTTTGCGGGAACCAGAATAAGGGTAGTTTTCCTCTACAAAATCATCAATAATGCCTTCATTGTTTAACTCTCTTAAGCAATAATGCCTTCCATATAGCCATTGGCATCAAAGAAGAGACACCCCCTTGATTTGATGGTAAGTGTGACACTACATAAACTCCCAGAAAACCCACTTCCTTTCTAGCAAATAGCAAACAACTGAGAGCCTGAACTCACCATCAGCATTGAACACTGAACTCTGAACACTGAACACTGAACACGGACTCTCATCTGTTTCTGGCAAACATGAAGCCAGACCTCTGGTATTTCTTTCTCTTCTGCTTGCAAACTAAAGTTCTAACAGGTAAGTGGCCTATTGAATGTTTCTCATTATAATTCAGGTAAACATTAAGAAAAATCAAAGGTAGAGAAATTGCACACACAAAAGAAGGTGGTTTTGGTTTTTGAAAGTAGGAACAGTTTCAGAACAGCCCTAGTATATGGCCAAGGGCACCATGTCACTCATGTCACTGTGGATGGCATTGAGTTTGCATTCCTCCCTTTGATACTGTGTCTTGAGATGAAAAAAAGATTCATCAGACCATTAAAATTTTAAATTACCTGCTTGGAGTTACCTGTCAGTGGATAAAATAGCAGAGTGGCTTACTGTTCTTAGAGAGAGATGAAAGGCAAAATGGCTTGTGTCAACAGAATGAAAATTAAGTAGCTCTGGCATTTGGGCTGGGAGTTCTTTCTGTGGTAGAAAATAAAATGGAAAGGCTTTGAAAAGAAGGATTTTGATTTTAATCTTACCTGGATGATCTGTTATCTGAAATGTTAAGGGTACCGTAGAGTTTTTATTGACACTAAGCATCAGAGTTCACCCTAAAAAGCCAAGGAGGAGAGGATAATGTAAAAATAATTCCTAGCCCCTATAGGCCTTTAAAAAAATCATTCTTGAGTCCCTGATTCTTTCTCTTGAATGGTATACAGCACATTCTATATGGACAGTTTAGATAATGCTACGTACAATGTAAGGTAATACATGTGGTTCTGCTGCTGTTTACTGTGCATAATTTGTACACTTTTATTTTCTCTTTAACCCTGAGCCCTATTTTTGAGGTTGAAAAAAGGAAATGAAGTTAGATTAAATAACTTAAATAATTAAATAAACCAAAAGTGAAGGCAGAACTTTTGGTGGGTATGATCCTACCTAGGGCTACGTTTTTCAATGATTTAAAAAAATAGACTTTACTGTGTTTACAAAAAATTTAAAAAAACAAAATTGAACTGGTCAAATGTTTCATCTTGTGCTGATTCAAAGTGAGTTAAGTGCTGTTAAGTTAAGAGGACTGAGGAATGAGGAATGAGTCCAAGGACAGTTCTGGGCTACTTGCTGGTTTATGCCTTTTCTAGAATCTCATGGAGTCCTTTAACGGCATGAATGACATGCGCTTTGGAATTGGTATTCATTCTTCATTCAACCATTTACTCATGTAGCACCGAGCACTTGCCTGGCAGGGGGTACTGTGCCAGATGGTGGATGTACAAGGATGAGCAAAACCAGGTCAACCCCTGTTCTTCAGAAGGTAACTGCATTGTAGAGAGAGAGAGAGATCAATCAAATAATCCCATAGATTAATTATAATTACAAACAAAACTCAATCCTATGAGGGAATGTAACAAGGAGCTTGACTAGATTGGGTGGGTGTGGAGGTGGCACTGAGGAACAGGGTTCATTGAAGTCTTTCCTGTGCAAGTGGCACTTGAGTGGAGATTTTAAGGATAAATAGGAATCAATAGGGAGAATGGTATGAAAATGGGGAAGAACATTCCATACCATGGAAAGAACAAGTGCAAAGAGCCTGTGGCAGGAGGGGATGCAGTAAGGTTAGGGAATAGAAGAAGGCAGACAGATGTGCCTGGGCACAGAGGGGGAAGAGGTTGAGCTTGGTCTGCTGGGAATACTTTGAACCCCTCTGTGGTGACTGAGCAACCCCAAGCTTCTGGAAGAATTGGCAAAACCCAAGCTATCTGAAATAACAAGAAGAAATTGTTATTGATTTTTTTTTTTTTTTTTTTTTTTTTTTTTTTTTTTTTGAGACGGAGTTTTGCTCTTGTTACCCAGGCTGGAGTGCAATGGCTCGATCTCGGCTCACCGCAACCTCCGCCTCCTGGGTTCAGGCAATTCTCCTGCCTCAGCCTCCTGAGTGGCTGGGATTACAGGCACGTGCCACCATGCCCAGCTAATTTTTTGTATTTTTAGTTGAGACGAGGTTTCACTATGTTGACCGGGATGGTCTCGATCTCTTGACCTCGTGATCCACCCGCCTCAGCCTCCCAAAGTGCTGGGATTACAGGCTTGAGCCACCGCGCCCGGCAATTGTTATTGATTTTTAACCTGTAAATTCTCTTAGTATTTAGTTCCCCTGAAATGCGTTATTTGCTTTGTGATGTTTGTTACTTGTATCGATTGTGTTTAAGAAAATGAAGGATAATGTGAAATGCTGAGATGTAACTTGTAACTTTGGTTCTACTGAGCTGCACCTTGTAACTTTGGCTCTGCTGATCTGTTCTGGTAAAACAGGAACTCTGTGAAGGGACTAACCACATAGCCTGACTGCTGGAGAGAGATGACAGCGCGTAATAGGCTTCTCGTTGCAGAGAGCCTATAAACAGACGTGTAATGGAGAGGTTTATTACCTGGATTTCTTTCCCAGGAAAGGCATATTGATTAGGGCCCTGGAAAGGGAATGCGACTCTCATGGGGAGCCTACAAATGGACGAATGAGGGGCGTCTGTCTCTGTGGTTGAGATAAGGATGTAAAAGTCTTTCTTCTCCCACTGCTCCCCGAGTCTTACATGGAGGCCCCCTCCTCTTGCAGCTTTTGTAGTCAGGCTGGTTGTCCTGTATCAGATCCTGTTCCCCCTGTAGCTGTGAGCCCAATATGTTTTTGCTGATAATCATAAGTTTATATTTAACCTATATTCTTGCTAAGGTATATGATTTCTATGCTGACACACAGAAAGTTATCTTTACATTTTTCTGCTTTTACAACCACGTTGTGATTTTTGTGCATCAGTTTTTGCAAATGTATTCTTTTTGCGTAATTATCACTGAAACTTTGTGTAATCTTGCTCCCCCTCCCTTATGGAAAAAGCACAATAGAAAACTGAGATTTTCAGGGGAATGCCAGACATCCACGGAGTGGCTTTATGTGGTGTCACCCCTGGGCCCAGCTTTAAAGAAAACTTTTTCTTTGTCTCTCTTTCTTTTTCACCAACCACTCAATCACTTTAAGAGTTCTTAAACTCTCACAAAATACAAACCACACTGATACATTAGGAGCTGGTCTCACATTGGTCCAAGATGACTGCTGGTGCAAGTTGGTCTAAGACAAGGCTGGAAAGGAAAGCAGAGGCCAGACCATTCAGACCATGTGTTCTATGTTCAAGATTTTAGATTTTCTTCTGAACGTATGTACCATTCATGGAAGGGTTTGTTTCTGTTGGTAAAAATCATTCCACTAGGCCAAACCCATTTGGGCAGTTCTGGTTGTGGTATTGTGCCCAGGAGAATTAAAGTAGCATTAATGTCAATTCTGTGGAAGATTACATCCAGCCTTAGGTAGGATTGTTTCAAGTTGCCAGGTTAAGCTGATGAATCATTTATGTTCTGGAATAGTATTCATCATAGATTCTAAATGAATACAACCAATGTTCACTCTCCTTATAAAGAAAACCATGCAATGTGGCATGCTGTTTGACATGTGGTAAAACTGAGGCATGAGTGGTTAAATGGTAATGATACATCGGCTAACGATCATCCTATTCAAAATATCACCGCAATGCATGTATCCAGCAACTGCCATTCAAAAGCTCTAAACAAAAAGAGTCAAACTCAAGTCAACTAAGCACTTGCTTGCTCTCTTTGTTGTATTTTCAATCCTTCCAATCGACATTGGCTTTCTCATGCCATGAAGATGTAGGCATGTAAGTATTCTTACCTTCCGTCAACGTTTGAAGAATTTCCAGCCAGGAAAGGCTAAGCGATTTGTTACACAGTAATTGGTGGCAGAACCAAAATTAGAATTCCAATGTGACCCCAGCATTTACATTCTTTCTAAACCATGTTGAAGTAGTGGAGATTAACATAAATCTCAATGATTCTGATCACCTTGGTTATTTGGTTGTGAATTAAGAAGGATGGGAATCTTGATGATTTCCAGTCTTTGATGGATCTCAATGTAGAATTTAATAAAGTCTTGTTCCTTTAATGAATTTGGAACAATAGGACGCTTTTAACTGTAAAAATATCTAGGAAAAATGTGAACGTCTAACTGCATTTTGGAAACGCTCTTCGTAGACTTTACAGGCAGCAGGGACCGTGTGAGGGATGGGATGAATTCTGGTTTTAGAAAGACCACTTTAAAAGCAGTGTGGATAACAGGCCAGAGTGGGAAGAGCTGATGGCAGAGGGTGTCTAATAAACACGCCTGTCTTACGATGTGTTCTGTGAGGAAGCCAGGAGGATAGCCCTCAAGGTCCCTTTGAGCCTTGCTTTGTCACTGAGGCATTCCATTAGTGGTTCCTAAGTTCCACTGGGGAAAAGAGCCCCTCAGTGTTTCCAGTGTCTGAGAGAAGTCTGTGAAGATGGCTGACCTTGGAGCCTCTCTTAGCCTCTCCAGGACTCTGAGTAAATGTCATCTCCTGGAAGCGCCCCCTTCCAGTGTTCTTGATAGATTAAATTAAAAAATCCCAGTTATCAATTTTTTCTTTTAATAGATGAATTCAGGCCATTTCCACTCAGCATAAGCCTCTACTTGATTTTATTTCTTTGCTTATTTACTACTTATTTTCCTTTGTGGTGTCCTCTTTTTCTCTTTTATTTTTGTTAGTGTAATGAAATTTCTTTTGACTCTCCTCTTTGCCTCTGGTTAATTCAGAAGGTCAACTACAGTTCTTAATTTGCTAAGTAATTATCATGTTCAAAGAATCTTAATTGAATGTGTACTTATTTATCACTGTATGAAAATAATGACAATGCCTTTGTCTGTTGTGCCTAGTCCCCATCCCCAAAACACTGTGATATTTTGAATGAGTCTTAAGAATGGGAGGTGGGGAGGTGGAGGTGGGGAGAGATAGCATGGGGAGAAATGACAGATAAAGGTGAGGGAGAGGAAGGCAGCAAATCACACTGCCATGTGTGTACCTATGCAACAATCTTGCATGTTCTTCACATGTACCCCAAAACCTAAAATGCAACTAAAAAAAATTAAAAAGAAAAAAAAATTCCCACTCTCACACTGCCCCCAGAAAGTGCACCTTGCTCCATACGTGGGTTTTGTGGAAATAATTTAAAAC